TCATCATATTTTTGAAATCTTTTCTTTTTACCTTTTCTTTGTTCACTTTTAAAGTAAATTCATTTGCATTTTGTTTTATAATCTTTATTATTCTTTTTCCCTCCAATTTTTATTATTTATTTATTTATTTATTTTTAGCTTGATTGAAAATCAATTGTAGAAGTAGGCGTGGTCTTTGATCTCATAATTTTGTGAGATTCCATTTATTTATGGTTTTGAATAATAACACAAATTTTCATGATAATTGGCGTTCATAAATTTACCATAAAATTAATTGCAATTGAAGTTTTAGTTTGAAGATAAATTGATATGGAAGTATACTTTCATTATGATTTTTGGTTCAACACTTAATTTTTTATTAAAAATATTGAGCATTTATCTGTATTATTATTTTAAAAAATTAGATTTTTAAAAGAATTTGATGTTTATTTATATCTTAATATTTTAAATAATTAAATATAATAGAATCTTATTTTCCTCCTTTTAATTTAACTATCCAATTCGCAAGACACTTTTATCAATCCTATCCAAAATTACGACCTCGCAACCTTGATTTTCACCCCTTTCCATGCCCATAAAGGCAATTCAGTAAACCATTTATTTATTTTTATGAATTTACTAGTGATGGCAACGGGGCCGCCTTAAACGGGGCGGGGTGAGATAGTTTTTTGCCCTTGCCTGGGTTCCTCTGGGTCGGTTCACCCCCACTGGTTCGGTTGTGTTGGTTTAGATAGGAATGGCCGAATGGGTTCGGTTAAGGAGTTCATCATTTGGTTCGCTATTATATGCTTCGACCGACAACGGGCGAAGTGCCTGTGGTCTCTCCTGCCACGTGGCTTTTTTGGGTCCCTGTGATGAACGTAGTATAACAATAGTTCTCGAAGGCCATGTATAGGTATTTACATAATGCGTGGACTTGAGAGGTTGTGAGGAAGCAAAAAACGATCGTAGTATAACAATAATTCCCGAAATCCATATATGAGTATTTATATAATGCCTAGACTTGAGAGGTTGGGAGGAAGCAAAAAAGGATCGTGGTATAACAGATTCAATGTATAAAAACATATATGAACTTAATGAAAATATATACGAACTTATCAGGCCCAATGAGAATGCTTCTTCAACATGCACCTTCAACAACTATAAAATTATGATGTGCAAATACCAATACATGAACAAATCGACACAATCACAAAATAACATAAATACTTTGTGACACAAATAAAAAAAGAACGTAAATTATTTGTTCATATAATCTTCAATATTTCACCTATGATTGCTGAATTCTCGATCCAAATCTCATTATTCTATACGGTTTTATGATTTGAAAATATAAAACGATAGATCCAGTTGTACGATCTTAAAATTTTAAGATTACGGTTCCGTTGCTGGATCTCAATATGCTAACAAGTCTAAACATCTTTGTGATTCTTCATTTTTTCATCATTATAATTTTTATATTAAATTTTAATGGAATAAGTAAGATGGATTATTCGATATTTAGGTTGAATTTCAATTTGAACCAAAGTACAAACTACAACTTCAGTGAAAAACAAAGCAAAACAAATGGTAAAAATAAGAATCTCTATTACGAAATCTATTATCTATTGGTCTGTACCGCCCATTGTAAAAATCAACGACGACATTCATTTTTCATCATATTTTTGAAATCTTTTCTTTTTACCTTTTCTTTGTTCACTTTTAAAGTAAATTCATTTGCATTTTGTTTTATAATCTTTATTATTCTTTTTCCCTCCAATTTTTATTATTTATTTATTTATTTATTTTTAGCTTGATTGAAAATCAATTGTAGAAGTAGGCGTGGTCTTTGATCTCATAATTTTGTGAGATTCCATTTATTTATGGTTTTGAATAATAACACAAATTTTCATGATAATTGGCGTTCATAAATTTACCATAAAATTAATTGCAATTGAAGTTTTAGTTTGAAGATAAATTGATATGGAAGTATACTTTCATTATGATTTTTGGTTCAACACTTAATTTTTTATTAAAAATATTGAGCATTTATCTGTATTATTATTTTAAAAAATTAGATTTTTAAAAGAATTTGATGTTTATTTATATCTTAATATTTTAAATAATTAAATATAATAGAATCTTATTTTCCTCCTTTTAATTTAACTATCCAATTCGCAAGACACTTTTATCAATCCTATCCAAAATTACGACCTCGCAACCTTGATTTTCACCCCTTTCCATGCCCATAAAGGCAATTCAGTAAACCATTTATTTATTTTTATGAATTTACTAGTGATGGCAACGGGGCCGCCTTAAACGGGGCGGGGTGAGATAGTTTTTTGCCCCTTTACTGCCCATTTATTTATTTTTACACATTTTCAAAATTTAGACTTATACTATTAAATTATTAAATACAAATTCAAAATTTAAAAATTCAAAACAAATAATGATCAAATTAACATCAATATTCAAAAAAGTACTCGAAAAAACAATATCCAAGAAAAAAACTATTTTTTTTTAATATTCCGCCTCGTGACCCGTGACGGGGATGGGAATTATGCCCCGCCCCGCCCCATCAACTCGTCGAGACGGGTTTTTTTCACCCCTTTCGGGATGGAGCGGGGTAAATTGCCATCTCTAGAATTTATTGCAATTTCATTTTGCCCTTCCATTTGCCGTTTCATTTATTATTAATTTCTTCTTAACGGTAGATTGTAGGGCCAATTTAGAGAGACTCAATAATTTGGTTCACATGCATTCATCATATATTCATAAATACATTACTATACTTATATACATACAAATGCACACGTATCACCTATCTTTTCATTGAGAATTAAATATATATTTCAATTAAAGACAACAATATGTTAAATTAATACGTGGGGAGTTATAATTTTCTTGTTGCACGTGGGTACACTAAAGGGACTCTAGCATAATACCCCACATCAAATACAGTTCATAAGAAATTTAATTCATATATCTTGATGGACCTCCTCTTGATTGATTGTTCAAATCCTTAGCTGTCAATGATTGAAGTTTGTCTTGAATTATTGCATCTTTTCCTTTCAATTCGTACATAGGAATTATATATTTTCTCTCTGTAATTAAAAAAAAATGTGAAAAAGGCACAGAAGTTCAAGATTCTTGAAAGTGACATAAAATTATTGTTGACTAGTTAATAAATCAGTATAAATTTGAATCCTATAAACATTTAAATAGTACATTTTTGAAAACGACGATGATAAAGATGAAAGATCAAATGACCTGTCTCACGAGCAAGGATTTGTTATATCCACTGATCAATAATCTCGTGTACTATGGTAAGAGAAGTAAATTCATTTTATTTTTGAAGGGAAAAGAATGAAACGTTAGAAAAGAAAATCAGAACATTGAAATTGTTTTCCCTTTTATATCTCTTTTTTCTACGTATATATCAGCATTATAATGTGTGCCACTGGGGATCCTCTTCTTCTGTTCACACTATAAGTAGTAAAAACTATGCCCCACGGCCCTCTCAAGGCATAGCCCAGTGGTGCAAAGGACAGGAGTGAAGTTATCTCATGCCTTACTGACAACTGCAGTGTAGGAGTTCGATTCCTGAGACATGAAATTGGACTCCTTATAGGCACAATGTACATGTGGCTTTTATTCACTAACCTGTTGGGGCACATCCCGCATTTACCTCCCTCACAAAGCTTTAGGGGCAGCGCAGTGAGAGCTCTCAAAGTTGGGGTTCAACCTTTTTTTTTTTTTTTTAATTATGCCCCACAGTACGTGTCACTTGGTGTTGACACACTAAAATTTGATTTATTATTATTATTATTTTTATTTTTTTTAAATATCGAGTGAGTTAGAGATAATCCCAAATACCTTGGGTTTGGGAAATTCTTCGAGCGCTAGTAAAAAAAATTACAGGATATTGAGTTTATGTGTCTATGAATTTTTTTTTTTTTTAATTATGCCCCACAGTACGTGTCACTTGGTGTTGACACACTAAAATTTGATTTATTATTATTATTATTTTTTTTTTTTTAAATATCGAGTGAGTTAGAGATAATCCCAAATACCTTGGGTTTGGGAAATTCTTCGAGCGCTAGTAAAGAAAATTACAGGATATTGAGTTTATGTGTCTATGAATTTAATTTTTTTTACAGAATTAATAATCGACCAATGACCATTAGAGAAAAAAAAAAATATCGAATATGTGCAGCAATACTCATAGTAGTTGATATTAACATCAATACTTTTGTGTGTTTATGACTTTTAAACTCTTTTAAATATAGTGAATCAAAGGGAGACAACAATGATTATTTTTCATAAGCATTTTGACTAGAGATAGAATTGACTTAAAAGTTAGGTTAAAGCTATACATCCCCATCTGTAGGAGACAATGATAGACGTCCATTTTAAGAGAAAATTAATGGTTCCTTGAAAAAAGCATTCTTTGGGCTTTCCATTCGTTGTAACTTGTACATTTTGGATAGGGTTAGTACTGAAAGAGATTGGTGGTGCGCCAGAGTTCAAAGTCTCAGATGGTCCCTGTCTTGAAATGATTTTCTTGGGTTGAACAGGACGAGATTTGAGGTAGTTACCACCTGTAAAACCCAGAAAGTAACTAGACCCTTAATTTTCAACGAAGCTCTTTGTACAGATGAATTGTATATATAGCTTTACAGATGATGAAATGGCAGCATTTTAATAGTTGGATTAATTGTCTTTTGTCAAAGAAAGTTTGATATCTTGCCACCTATAATTTCTCTTCGATTTTTCAGCTAGTCCCTTCCAGCTTAGCGTGTGCTAGTTCTTTTTATTTTTATTTTTTCCTTTTTTGTGTCAAAATTTCATACATGCTGAATTTCTATACATAGGTGACAGTGAAACTATGTGCACTCAGCATGTGCATTTTTATAAGTTCAACCACTCCATATTTAAAAGCTTAAGCCATTGAAAAGTTCACAAACTCGTCTACATTAAAACAACATCATAATATATGAAACATAAAAAAAACTTTATCATAAACCTTACAACAAAAGATGAATCGAAATTGAAACAGGAACAAGTTTTCTATCAAAATATTGGTATCAAGAAGTTGAGAAGTCTGTATATCTAGTTCCTTATGTACAAAGTGAGAATAAAACTTATAAGCACACAACTGTTGAATTAGCAGCCTTTAGGGGTTGAAAAATAACCTAAGAAAACTGTCCAAATGAGGCAGAAAGCATTTGAAGATGTTTGCTGTATACTTCTGCTGATTGTAACGGTTGTTGCAGCTGATTTGAATGCCAATTAGCAGCACTTACTGAATCTTCTGTAGCCAAATGTGTTTGATTCTGAATAGAATTGTTCAGTAAAAATGGAGTCTGAAGATGCTCATTCCACTTAATATCTTGTGGAATTTCTGCTTCTGATGCGTGAATATGACTTTCTAATTCCTCTGATTTTCCCCATGGGAAACCATTGTTCTCAAAGAAATCCGTATTCTGAAACTTGTTTACACCAAAAGGGCTTATGGAACTATCCGAAGGCTGATTCACGTTAGGCTTTATACATATCAAAGGCGCAAGAATCGAGGGGAGAACTGAAGGAGGCCTTGGGGTGATCTCGTAGTTGGTACGGGGTGGAGACAACGGGTTCCTAGCCATTGCCGAAGTCGTGGAATTTGGAGTGAAGTACAAATTTGTTGTGTTGGGACCACAATTTAACTGCTGGAAAGATAGAAGCCTTGATAAATCAGAATTCTTGCAGCTGGTGGTGGAGGTTTCATGGTTAGCAACGAACCTGTTAAGGAAAAAATCATGGTCCATTCCAACAGAAGATAGATTTCCGTTTTGAGTTGCTGTAATTCCTATGTTATTACAGTTCTTGGATTCCACAAAAATTGGTTCACTGGACCCGTCTGATGTTTTCTGATCCTGGTGATTATTCTTGATGCTGCTTGCAGATGGTTTTTCTTCATAATTTTCAACTTCAGAAAATGGGTTGTGAGTATTCGGGTCAATCCCTTTTTGCCTCAATTTTTTCTTAATGGAAGAATTCCAAAGATTCTTTATTTCATTATCTGTTCTTCCAGGCAATTGAGCAGCAATCTGAGACCATCTGGAAGTAAAAAAACAACACCCTCAGGATCACTACAAACAACATGTTTGATATATAGTATGGAATAGGACTAGACAGTATACTCAACATGATTGCGTCCAATACACCTGAGGGAACATGTCAGTCTAAGATTGCACAATGGTGCAGGAAAATACAATTAAGGGTTTTGATACACTGGACCGCCTTACCGGTGCACACGTAGCATTTTGCGGGCACAGTATTGTGAGGAGGCTGGACAATGGAGTGTGAAACCCGGTGTATACATAGCAAAACCTACAATTAAATTACCTGTTGCCAAGAACTGCATGCAGTTCAATTATCAAATTTTGTTCCTCTTGTGAGAATGTCCCTCTTTTCAAATCAGGCCTCAAGTAATTGATCCACCTTAATCTGCAGCTCTTTCCACATCTTTGAAGACCTTCATAAATTTCATAAAATATGTGAAAATTTAAGAGAAGGGTTTTAATTAATTAGCTTCAACCGGCTTTCTCTCTCTCTTTTTTACGAAATATCGAACCAGTGTTCTTTTTGTATCACCAATAAGCTTAAAATGGATTCTTCCTAGCGTCGGGCTTAAAAATTCTAGTAAAGCAGGATACTTAACATTAGCTAAAATGACTTGGGAATATAAGCATACCGGCTAGTTTCGGAACAGAGCTCCAGCAGCCATGTCCATAAGTTGTTATGTGGTGTATAAGTTTCTCATCTTCCTCTGGAGACCAAAGCCCTTTTCTTAACTTCTGCTTATAACAGCAAGAATGCCTCCCCATTTGCACTGCAACGCTGACAATTGCAAAAAATATTCACAAAATTATTTGTATAAGTACTAGCTCAACTTCCAGCAGGAAAAAGAGAATATTCTGGAGAGAGAGAGTTCTCGAAAGTGAGATGGAAATAGGGAATCAAATGAATATATAGAGGAGCTTTAAAAAGAAGGTCGTATTCAGACTTCAGGAACTCATCCCAATTGTTGTAATAAGTTAAATAGATTTTAAGGGATTATAATTTCTTGAAATATATCTCTCCTATATATGTTTCTTATCAAAAGTTGAGAAAATGATGATAATGATGATGATAACAACGAGATTGACAGAACTTTGTGGGGTATAATAAAAAGATATTTCTTTATTTTCATGAAATCAGTCCACACAGTATAATCAAGTTTTAAATGAGATTAAGATATTTTGAGTTTATATTAAACTTCAAGTAACACCTTATATGTAGGAAATTATGCCAATAAGATTCCACACAAAAATAGGTAAAATATTTTTAAATGGTAAGATGTTCTTAACAATAAGAATTTCCCATGATTAGTTATGTCAAGCAATTAATTAGTGATTAATTAAATAGATTTAGAGTTACACATCCTCATGTCCTTATATAGAAACCAGAATACCCTATTCTTCAGTAAACTTTATGCCAGCGGGTTCAGTAATTTTTCTGCTTCTCTTGATGTGAAAAATCATCTCAAATTCATTTGAAGAACTATGTTACAATCTTTTCTTTAGACCACCAAAGTTCTTTGTCATTCATATTCTATCATTTTCCTACTTAGATGTTGTAATAGACATAATAATTATTGACAAATTGTATTATATATTTTCTCTCTCGTATTTTATTTATTTTTACCAAATGTACATTTTAAATATTATTTAGACTCAATAATTTTACCATATAAATTGAAGAAAGCTAGTTGATTAAGTTCGATTCTAGTTAATAGTTACCTCAGGAAGTATAAAAAGAAAGATTCACTTTAAGGTTAGGGTTTAACCTTTTTTTTATAAAGATTCATCTCATTACTAAACAGTATGGTTCAGTTTTATGTTTTCCTCACAAGTAGACAAACTCAAAGCATGCCCACGGTTGTTTTAAACTAACTTTATCTTGTATTTTACTCTTTTGTAATTTATATGACTGCATTCTACCTACTACCCAATCTTGTGACATGGTAGAAGAATCAAACTAAATAAATTAATTAATTAACAAATAAACTTCTCCATTATCCATTATCCATGATTGATATCAAGATTTATTTATTGTTCTCTATTATTTTTTCCAAGAAAATAAACAATTCCATCCTGTCTATGATTATAAGTGAGTTTGAAATAAAATGATTGAAGCAAATTTACATATAAAAACACAGCCGACAATACAATAATTGCACTTGTCTTCTTTTACATTCAGATACACATATTTACAAATTGTATACTGGCAAAAAAATTTCAACTCTCTAAAATTCGACAAATATTAAATTAAAGAACATACATTAATTTATTGGCCTTTTTAATTAATTGCCTCTCAAGAAAATATAAAATTCCTAAATAAGAATCTTTTTGTACAATTTATGACTAGTTTAGATGGATAGAAAACAAAACAATGTACGACTTTTTTATTGTATATTATCTGTATATTAGTGCTTGTCATGTGGTGACTCAATCGACCTCAATAGTTTAATACTTTAAGATTTAACTTGAGAGAGAAAAATAAAATGAAATACATGTTTTAACAACGTAGTAAATATGTTACTTCAATAGTTCAATTTGTTGGAATTGGTTTAAGAAATTGAAAATTTTGGTTAAGTATAATTTGGGAAAAGTAACTTGGTGTCAAGTTTTAATCAAATATTCAAACTTGATCTGATTGTCAAATTACGAAAGTAAAAAGACTAACTTGTTTTACTCATCGAGTAGATTATCATAGTATATTTGAAATGGAAAATTTAATTCCAGATGAATGAGAAATTACAATCCAAAATTGGGAAGGAATGAGAATAGTTGATTGGAAAATCCAGCAACACCATCGCTCGTCTAGCGCTAGCCAGTCGCTCAAGTGACTGTCCAGCAAAGAGCGAGCGACGGACTCACTATTTTTGACACTCGAGCGACGTGAAGGCAATAAGCAAGCGCAACAAATGCTGCGACCCTTGGCAAATGTTGTTGAGTTCTGAGCCGCGCTTCACTCAAAAACTTTCCCCCTCCATAAATAGGACCCATGGGACGTCCATTTCTTCATCCCAATAATAAGCAATCATAACATAACATTTTCTTTCTTCCTTTCGTACCAAAATTCTGCATGAGTTTCTGGTTTTCTTTTCATTCATATAAGGAGTACAAAAGCCATTTTCTTGTTCGTTGTTCTTGTTACACTTGGACCTGTGTAAGACAGGCCGATGAACACGGATCCCTTATTTACCATCAAAGATTTGTAAAAGCATAGGTAATTTCATAAACTGTAATTATATTTTCACACTAGCTTTTCTTGATAATTGTACTTTAATATGATTTCGATTGCATAAATACAATTTCATTTAATTTCACTATGATAATTATACTTAATTTTCAATTAATGTAGATTTATCTAATTTTACTTATGGATATTGATTACGTGACATCTAATAAATGATGATTATCACATATTAGTGTTAGTTGCTTATGTGAAATAAGTATAATTTTATTCAAATAAATGAAGAACAGTTTTTTGATTAATGCGTCATCAATTTTTTATAAGATGGAGTTGCCCAATTAAAATCAAATTAAAGTATATTACCATACTGAACAAAATTGAGGTATAATTACCATTACCTGATTGAACTAGAGTGAAAGTATAATTACAATGAATGGAATTAACCCGAAAAAGTATTATAAATTTTCAACAAAAAATAAAATAAAATAGACGAAAATTTTGAAAAAAAAATAAAAATTAATAAGCCCCTATTTGATGACCATTATTTTGGGGAAGAAAAAAGAAAAGAAAAGAAAAGAAAGGAGTTTTGAATGGTAATTTTTTGTAGAATGTGTGGTTAAAATGTGGAAAAAAATTTAGATTTACGTACAAAATATTTTATTGTATAAATATGTGGTTGAAAATAAGTTTACATTCAAATTTCTTATTTACAGACATTGATACATATCCTTGTTTTGCATTTTGAATTTTATTTTTCTTTAGTTTTCTTGTCATGATATATTTGTTCATTTTGTTTTAGTTTATGGTTTAAAAGCTTATTGTACACTCTTATGTCTATAAGAAAGTAGATTAAACTAACTAATCTCGGTTGCTATTTTTTGTTATATATATAAGACAGATTTAATTTTGTAATTAAAATTAAATATTTATATGATTTTCTAGCATTGGTGTCTTCTTTTTTGGCGTTTCTTGAAATTTATTTATAATTCTGGATATTTTGTGTATTAATTAAAAGATTATAACATGTATTTTTCAGCATATTAGTGCTTGTCACGTGGTGTCTCAACACGAAATTGCATCCACGATATTTTCGTGTACAAATTGATTTTATTATTTATTCTTTTTTTTAAAAAATTAGGATCATGGATATACCTGGGTTTCATTTGACAACATTTATTTATTTTTAATAAATTTAAAGTCAATGAAATAAATTTTATGGTTGCTTATTTCCTAGATAAAAATATATTTAGAGTAACAAAAATGTGGCATTATAATAATAATTTTGATATGTACTGGCTCGTGAGCTTTCATCTTGTGACAATACGAAGGTTCCTTCAAAATAGGCCCCACGAGAAGATACATATAATCTTCATCCCTCATCATGTGTATCTTAGCCAACCATGGATTCATATATGCTTATTCCGTGTTCTCTGTTGCTTGACAAGTCCAATATCATTCCTTGCTTGGTTGTAGACTTGTAGTTGCCAATTCAATTAAGCAACCAAATGAACATTTTTTGGTTCGAAAGATTGGGGTGCGAGGGGATAGTGGAAGGACTCGGGGATGTCAGAATATGTCATGATTAGACAAATAGTTCAAAAGACCAATTCAAGCATGCACAATTCTAGGGGCAAGTCTTAGACCTAGAGTTGGATATTCCTAGATCTTGATGTTACATTGTTTGTCCATATAGTATATTTTATTATAATAAAATAATTATTTATAATAAATAAATTATGATTTTATTTATTTATTGCATTATTTATTATTGAACATGTAAATTAAAGTACCTATAATTACTTAAGATAATATAAGTTGGGTAATTGCGTTGAGAAATACAGTGTGACATAACTTATATTTTGATTATAAATAATTTATTCATAATCAATGTATAAATGTTGGCATCTTATACTGAAAGGTTGTAGTGTTGATCAATTCATTATTTAGGTTTGTGATTTGTCCTTATCACAGAAATAGGTAAAGGTGACAATAGTACACTTGAAGTGTATTGAACGGATCGCGTGTCGAATTTAATTATATAGCATGATCTTACGGAATATTAAATTCTACTGGATTGCTGTATATTTCATCTAAATCCCTTGATAGGAATATGTATATTTTTTCGTGATTATAATAATTTTTTGATTCATTAATGGGTGAGGATCAATTTGATTGGTCAAATATCTTGATGAGTTGAAAACTTGAGAATAAGCGGAGTAGAGAACATGAATTTGTGTCAGGAACCGTTACCCTGAAAAATGGGTAGAGTGACTATTTAAGTATTTTCTGTTGAACGGTTAAAATCTGAGCTCAATGTTTAGCTACGGCTAAATTTCGAACATCTATGATTAGTTCACAGGGAAGAAAATGAAATTTAAGTTAGTGAGAATAATTAGAGAGGCAAAATGATCATTTTATACTGGCACCTAATTATCGGATCTCAAATGGGAATAAAATACATATATAAGGCAGGTAGAGGAATGTATTATAGATTTGTTGGTTTCTGTGATTTTATATGTTCTAAGAGTTCAGTCTATTGCCTTTAGTGAAAAAAAAAAAGATTAATGATTAATCGGATGGTCTAAGGTTGACTAGACATGATCTAATAATTGGAGCTTGGATAATATATGTCTGATCAGCTCCCTATGGTAGTTTCATGAAGTGTTGAAACTTAATTACAGTAATTATAATAGTTTTGGGCTTAATTGTAATTATAATAAAGTTTATACTTAGTTGTAATTACTATAAAAGTTGTAAACTTAATTATAATTGTAATTGAAGTTCTAGGACTACATATGTA